TAGTACAACCACCCTGGAAAAAAATTTGGAGGCTACTTAAAAAGCTAGACATTGATCTACCATTTGACCCAGCAATACCACTCTTGGGGATATACCCAAAAAAACTGTCACACAGGTTACTCCAGAGGCACCTGCACACCCATGTTTATTGTGGCACTATTCACAATAGCCAAGTTACGGAAACAGCCAAGATGCCCCACCACTGACGAATGGATTAAGACAATGTGGTATCTATACACAATGGAATTTTATGCAGCCATGAAGAAGAACGAAATGTTATCATTCACTGGTAAATGGATGGAATTGGAGAACATCATTCTGAGTGAGGTTAGCCTGGCTCAAAAGTCCAAAAATTGTTTGTTCTCCCTCATATGTGGACATTAGATCAAGGGCAAACACAACAAGGGGATTGGACTTTGAGCACATGATAAAAGCGAGAGCACACAAGGGAGGGGTGAGGATAGGTAAGACACCTAAAAAACTAGCTAGAATTTGTTGCCCTTAATGCAGAGAAACTAAAGCAGATACCTTAAAAGCAACTGAGGCCAATGGGAAAAGGGGATCAGGAACTAGAGAAAAGGTTAGATTAAAAAGATTTAACCTAGAAGGTAACACACATGCACAGGAAATCAATGTGAGTCAATGCCATGTATAGCTATCCTTTTCTCAACCAGCAAAAACCCTTGTTCCTTCCTATTATGGCTTATAGTCTTTCTACAACAAAATTAGAAATAAGGGCAAAATAGTTTCTGCTGAGTATTGAGGGGGTGGGTGGGAGAGGGAGGGGGTGGAGTGGGTGGTAAGGGAGGGGGTGGGGGCAGGGGGGAGAAATGACCCAAGCCTCGTATGCACATATGAATAATAAAAGAAAAAAAATAATTTTTCTTTTAGTCAGTTTGTACTAGTCTCTCTTAATCCAATAGTCAGTTAGATATTGGTATTCCACAGGCACTGGAGTGCTGACACCCTTTTGTGATATAGGTCATTTAGTATAGTCTGGGTTGTATTACATACCTGCCACATGTGATGTGGTCACAGGCTTTCATGGTTCAGCTTGTTTTTCTAGTTTCTTTTTTCCCTCATTCTTTCATTTTCTATAGCTTGTTACTCACTTTTGTCTGTCATTGGAAATAAGCTCTTCATTCTTTCGTGCATACATTTAGGCATACATTCAACAATTTATATGTTTTGTATTTGTCCGGCACCTACTATGTGGCAGGTACATTAGCAAGTTATTGAGGCTATAGCAGTCAAAAAATCATACCTAAGTCCTTGCATTTTTGAGACTTATAGATAAGTGGGAAAGGGAGTAAGGAAGAACATGTGGAAGCGAAAGGCTGCTAGAGTCAGTACAGTAAGTTTTCAATTTTAGAAGTCCTTAAAGACAGTGAAAATAAAGCAAAACTTATTGACAAAAAATTTGGATGAAAACATGGAGAAGACAAAGCTGTTATGTATATTAGTAAATTTGGAAACTTTCTTCATTTCAGAAAACTGCTTTCTGACCCCATTTTGTATACTGTTGTTTCTGTTATTGCTACTTATGCAACATTTGTTGAGTGTATATCATGTTATATAGGTATTGTGCTAAGTGCTTTTTTTATATAGATGGTAGGCATTACACCAATCTATTTTACTTACTAGAATTGTAAGAGACAATGAAATTAAATAGAGTACTTATTTAGCTAGTAGGTATAGAGTCTTGATTTAGACCCAGGACTGCAAACTCATGAATTCGTTCATCTGTACCAAGTATGGAAAACTAAATAAACCTTATTTATAATATAATATTGAAAACTTTCATATTTACATTTTTGCTTCTTTTTCATTAACTTGCCAAAACTTTTTGCTTCTGTTTAAGTTAAACCACTTACATGTCCATTTGTAATTAAAGTTCATGACACATACAAGCAAACACACTAAGAAATGTAGTCATTGTTGTGTTTTCATACACAAAGCTGATAAATTCTATAGTTGTATAGAATTCATTTTGCATTTACGAATTAACAATGTCATTTTTCTAAGGTGTGTGTGTGTGTGTGTGTGTGTGTGTGTGTGTGTGTGTGTGTAAGTAAGTGTATAAAATGCCTGGCTTAGTGCTTGACATGTAGTAGGGGAGCCATAAATGATAGCAATATTACTAAATTAGTTTCCACCTCACATGTAAAATAGGTAATTTATTTTACTTGTAGCAATATGCCAATGAAATTGCTTTAAATGCATAGTTTTGTAATCTGACTCCAGCAGTTATAATGCATTATCCACATGTAGACCACTCCGTTTTGATGTTACTTTCCTTTGATGTATCTCTAGGATTTGTGTATTGAGCTATGCCTCTCAAACTTTTATGTGTCTTAGAATCACCTGGAGTGCTTATTAAAAGACTGTTTGCTAGACTCTATCCTCAGAGTTTCTGACTCAGTAGGGCTGCGATGATGTTATAGAATTTATACCTTCAGTAGCAGTGCTGGTTTTTAGATCATGCCTTTAAAACCGTTGCACAGCAGAAGTGGAAAAATTAGAGTCATTCCAGTGACTTCTAATTATTACTGTTCTCTTATATATCCAGTGGAGTTAATGTGCTGGTATAATTGATGTTGCTGAATTTATGGTATGGTATTTATGAAATAATTTAGATAAATTTGGTTCATATACACATCATTGTGCTTATTGCTTAAGGATGTTTCCTAAAGGTTACATTTTTTTTTAGAAAACTTCAAAAAGTACAGGTTTTATATTAGTTTCTATTCTCTATTGAAGACATAAAACTAAATGGTTTTACCTTTTGTGGGGGAGGCATTATAATTTTGGAATATATTTTATAGGGCCATTTTATGTTTTATTTCTGAGAATTTCAGAGTATCAAAATGATATGGCAGTTTAAAAATAGTAACAAGAAATGTTATTCTTTAGTTCTTTTCCAGAGTCTGTTAAAAACTAAAATTTGCTAGGCTAATACCAAATAGAATTTGGTGCTATCATTCATACTTACAAGATTTCACTCTGAATTACACCAACAGAACAATTTCACCTTTTCCTTTTAAAGCATAGCTTATACCTTTAGGAATATGATGGTATGGAGGGGTTGCTCACTCAAAGAAGAAAGGGCAATCAGACAATCTTTGTCCATGAGATTAAACTGAAATGTTCTCTCATTCAGTGATACTGAGTGACTTTCTGTGCTAGGTATTATAGCAAAAATCAGTGCCAAAGAAATTTATCTTTATCATGTACAATGAGGGGTTTAGTGGATTGTAACTCAATATGATCTAATTGTGTGATGAGGATACTGATAAACTTAATATAGTCTTACGCTTCATTAACAGAATTAGTAGTATTATGTGCAGATTCGGGAAGGTAAGGTTCTGCTGTCTTACTTTACTATACCATATCTGGAATATTTGGTATGATTTGGAGCCAAGGGAAAAAAAGAGTTATTCCAGAAGTGAAGAATCTGCTGTTAGATACCTTAAAGCAACTGAGGCCAATAGGAAAAGGGGAACAGGTACTAGAGAAAAGGTTAGATCAAAAAGAATTAACCTAGAAGGTAACACCCACGCACAGGAAATCAATGTGAGTCAATGCCCTGTATAGCTATCCTTATCTCAACCAGCAAAAACCCTTGTCCCTTCCTGTTATTGCTTATACTCTCTCTACAACAAAAGTAGAAATAAGGGCAAAATAGTTTCTGCTGGGTATTGAGGGGGGGAGAGGGAGGGGGCGGAGTGGGTGGTAAGGGAGGGGGTGGGGGCAGGGGGGAGAAATGAACCAAGCCTTGTATGCACATATGAATAATAAAAGAAAAATGAAAAAAAAAAAAAAGAATCTGCTGTTGAAAGATTTTCCTGTACTTGTTTGTGAGGATTGTTACAAAACAGGAGAATTATATTGGGTGGGAAGTTGTCTTCATTGAGTTAGTAGTTCATTTCTCCTGTAATGTATGATCCACAAGGACAGGGATTTGCCCACTTCATCTACACTGTGTCCTTTAATGCTTATCTAGTACCTTGCACATATTCAACAGATAATTGGATTGAATCAACTGTAAGGGGAAGATGTTGGTTAACCTTCAAGTATTTGTTACAAAATTGTCTTATTAATTATTTTTATTATTTAAATTTCCATTGGGGAGATGGACGCTCCAGTGATAGAATTTTTAAGTGGGAAGATTCAGGTTTTCCTAAGAACTTTATAAAACTCAGATATGTTTGGCAGCCAAATTGTTAAGTTTCTTCATATACTTGAATTCTGTTTTAAATCTGTGGGTAGAGGTTGCTTTTATATCTACTTTTCATAGATTACTGGCTACGATGATTTCAGCTATTGACACTTATGGCTATACAGTAAGTCTGCCTTATTGTTGGATTTGTTACATGTAGTTTTGACCAGTGTGGTAAAAAAGAAATAAAAAAATAAAAATTTTCAAAAACAAAATCTTTAAAGTCAAGCACACATTGCATAGCTCAGTTCATGCAGTCCCGTTATTGTCAGTTGTGTTTAAATCCTGTGTAAATGAGGAGTGTTTCCCTGCCCTTAATTTTGTGAAAACATACCTCCCCCAAAGCAAGTGGTACCCCCAAATGCAAGGTAAAAATGAATGTGCTTAAATGAGGAAGTGAAAATTAGAGATTGGTTTAAAAGGCAGCATGTCTTTAGTGGAAATTGGGCAGCATTTTGGGAAAAATGAATCCAGCCTCTGTAGTACTGGACATAAAGAACATGAAATAAGATCTAGTTTTTGGTGAGTAATAATTTCTTTGACGGTAATGTAGACTATTCTGTGTGATTTCATGTTATGGATGCTCAGGCCTACTGTATAAATGGCATACACATTTGAGTAATTTTAGAGTACTGAACTCTATGCATCCTGAGCATTTGTGGTTTTTCCTCAAGGGCAGTCTCCTTAGAACCATATACTTGTGGATACCAAGGGCCTACTGTATGTTTCTTTTTATTGAATTATTCTATTATTAAATGTTAGAACTTTCTTGTCTTTATAGAGTAAAGCAAGCCAAGGACCTGGAGCGAGAGAGGGCTGCAGCTAATGATCAGTTAACCAGGGCTATCCTTCGAGAAAGGATATCGAGTGAGGAGGAACGCTCAAAGGCAAAACTCCTGGTGAGTCTAAGGATTTACTCAAGATATCTTGCTGACAAGGAAATCCCTGATGTTTGGGAAAAGCTAAGCCTTCCGTGCCAATTTTTAGGGTTGATAGTATCTGCTGAGTTTTCTTGAGTTTTGCCTTTTACAAGTAGCTGACAGTTTAAGATCTCATCACCAAGGACATTACGGCAGGTGACTTCAGAAGTACTGAAGTCAGGACCAACACAGATACATGTACATGTGCGTGCTTGGACGTGTGTTGCTTCTTTGCTTTTGGTTTCATTATCTCTGAAACCTCTGGGACTAGCAGCCTGTCTTCATTTTCCTCCTAGTGGCAACTTGCAGATGTTTGTTTGGAAAACCTCCAGCAAAGAGGAGTTAAGGTTTGGTCTGTTACTCGCTAGGCTTTAGAAAGGGAAAAAGGTCAAGCAAGAGCTTTGGGAAACAAATCTTTTTATTTTTAAAGAACCATTAATTTTTTTTTAACTACAGGAGTTTTTGGTTTTAAAACTATATAAACATTTTATAATAAAGGAATATTAATATGTAGAATACTTTTCTAGGTCTATTTCATATTTAAGAATTTGGATAATGTTATATGGTGTTTAGTATTGTGAATATTTTTTTATATCACAGGATATTTTTCTGAAGTATAGTTTTTAATGTCTGAATAATATTCTGTCTTCTGTATTCAACATAACTTATTAAATGATTTCCCATTGTGTGATAAGTGTAGTTGTTCTGGTTTGTCTGCTTAGTCCCTGCTTCTGCCTTCCTAGAAACCCAGATAACACTTCTCAAGGTCTTTAGTTCTCATTCAGACACATCTGGAAACTCAGTGTAGAGGGAACCTGGGAACTTATATTGGAGGACTTTGAATACCAAATTTCCTACTCCAGCAGGCAACTGGGAATTGAAAAGGTCTGTTTTTGTTCTCTCCTAGTGTCTACCTGTCTGTCTTTTGCTGTTGCCTCAAATATTCCTGATTTTTAGGAAGAGTGGCACTTTTTTCTTTTTTAAATTGACACATAAGTAGGTATTCATGGAATATAGTGTGATCATTCAGTAGTTGTATACAATGTGTAATGATCAAATCAGTGTAGTTAATATTTTTCTCTCTTGAAACATTTATCATTTCTTTGTGTTGGAAACCTTTGAAATCCTCTCTTTTAGTCCTTTATAAAACGTAACAAATTGTTGTAAATTATTTTTTTCTTTCATTACCTTGGTCATTTCTTTGACCAGATACAAAAAAGAGAAAATAAAAGAGATATCAGTGAACAATGAACCTATTTCTTCAGTAACCAATCTGGGCCAGGTTCCATAGAGACATAGTGAGTCCAGAACAGATATGACAGAACAAGAAAAAAATGACAGTGGGCTGACTTATCAGCCACCATGAGGACAGCACATACATTGTGTGGGACTAAAGGAGTAAGGGGATGGAAGGAAAGTCAGTCACTATGAAAGGAGAATAATTTCAGAATTAAAGAAAATAAATGTTGAGTAAATCAATTGATGATTCTGTCTGCTGTTTGTCTAAACTGAAGGTTTTTTGAAGAAGTGTGAAAAATATCAGGCCAGTGGGTTGAAGAGTCATTTTTGTGCATGTTAAAAGTCTCCCAAACTAAAGGCTAGGGATGGAGAAGAGAGGGTAAATAATGCTCATATTTGAGAAAGGTAGAGAAGGAAAATTCTTAGTTTCCAGTGGACAGAAGAATCCTTGATTTCATTTTTCTTTGTCTCCCACCTTTTGGCCTTTTGCATCTTATCCTTGAAACAGTCTTCTCTCAATGTCTCTTCACCTGAATTTAGACATCTCATTCACTTAGTTTAAGATTTAAAACTCATTAAACACACTTTTTGCATGTGTGCACATGACACACACAGCAAGGCATTAAAAGAAGAAAGTTTTCACAAAAAATGTGAAGTATAATAAGGTTTCTTACCCAGAAATAACTCAAATGTTAGCTTATATGGTATGATTGGAATAGCAAATTTTTAGTCAGTTTTCTCTTTTTACTAATAAATCTTATCAATTTTCTGGTTTTTTTTTTAAAGCTGATCAAGCTCAAGAAGCTGATGTTGTACATCCTGTTTCATCGAGTTTGCTTTTACTTATTCTGGGATTGTATGGTATAGAGGGCAAATTACAGTACTCACAATTCCTGAATTTCACCATCTATAATCATATTGGCCAAATAGAGTTCTCAAAGCACTTGGGGAATAAAAGTAGAATTTATACGGTAATAGGATAGCTGACCCATGGGGTCCCTTTCTGGCTGCAGTGTTTTCAGATGTTTGAATGGTATGTCATGGCCACAACAACATAACTGCCTATGGCCATTTAGCTGCTGGGTAATTCCCAACTTATTTTTCACATTTCTTCCTTTATTGTTATTTGTTATTGTAGAAGATGTGCATACATATTGACTAAAGATCAGAAAATATATTAAAAAATTAAAATCAATTCAAAGTACCACTAGGGACAGATAATTATGTTAATATGTGCTATTTAAAAAAATAGTTCTGTTCACTTTCAATTAAGTTTGTGTAAGATCTTTATACATTAACTTTAACAAATTTATATTTATGTGCATTGATGTATTTCCTGAAACAAATATTTTATACTCAATAACATACACATTTGAAAACGTTTAGGCTATATGAGAAAGTTTTTATACCAATAAATATATTTTCTATAGCTACTTCTTAATAATTGAATGTATTTTACTGAATTCCCCCCTAATTATTTAAAATAATACAAAAATATTTTAGAAAATATAAAAATTATATAAATTTATTAGCAGAGTGTGGTGGTGCATTTCTATAATCCCAGCAGTAAGGAGTACTGAGGCAGGAAGATTATGAGTTCAAAGCTACATAGCAAGGTTGATGCCAGCTACATTCTGTTTCAAAAAATAAGACAAAACTAAAAAGTACTGTAATTATTTCTTCTGTTCTTTGTGTTCAGAGGTATAAAGTCCTTGCTGCCCCCACTCCTCATGTATTCTGTACAGTATTTAGGTTTCAGATTCTGCATCCCACCACCTGCCGTAACAGGATTGTGTGGTACTGACTGTGAGTCTGCTGTTGTCCTTGTAAGAACCTTGAGTCCCTCTGGAGAGGTGGGCATCTTCAGAACCCCTGATTCATATTAGTCACCTTAAGGATGTTAGCATTATTCTGCCACCGTTAGGATGTGGGGCTCTGAGTGATGGCTAAACATTGCTTTGTTTCTGTTTATTTAGAACCCAGGTATTGTACCCTGCAAGAATGTAATGCTTGAGTTTCACACATTTGAAGTAATTGGAAAGCTGTCTTTCAGGAGAACTGGGGTGGCAGTCGGTGTGACCTGGTGTGATGCAGATGCAGGTTAAACATTTCTTACCCAAAATGCTTGGGACCACAAGTGTTTTGGATTTTGGATTTTTTTGGAAATTGGAATATTCATATATTCATAATGAGATATCTTGGAATGCTGCCCCAGTCTAAATATGGAATTAATGTTTACACTTTTTACATATAGACTGAAAATAGTTTTATCCAACATTTTTAGTGCATCTCTATTATGATCTGTCCCATGAGGTTGCATGTGGAATTTGTCATATGTGGCATGTTACTCAACAGGTTTGGGATTTGGGATTTTGTTTTTCTTTCTTTTTGTCTCTTTGGGTGCTGGAGATCAAAGCCAGGGCCTTGCCTATGCTAAGCAATTGCTGTACCACTGAGCTAAACCCCCCTGCCAGTTTGTATTTTGGAGCATTTCGGACTTCAGATTTTTCAGACTAGACATGCTCAACTTAGACTGAAATAAAACTCCCTGCTCCTCAGTTTTCCTGTCTCATTAACAGCTGGCATTAAATTACTGTCTCCTTAGATGTGAGTCCAGGTTTTTCTTGCTACAATTGTCCTAACAGCTGGCTTAATGAAGCACATTGAAGGGCAGTCATGATGGCCTGTATTGAAGTTTTAAAATCAGATCAGATCCAAACTTTCTCCTTTGAAAAGACTTGCTTTAACTTGGGAAGCTGGTGAGCACGTTCTAGATTCTAAAAGAGCATGACAGCTCCCTTTACCTTGCACTGACTGGTGCCGGGATTTGAATCAACTGATTTTATCCATAGGTTTGGGAGAAGCAACTCACTTTGGATTCTCTGGTATGAAACTGTTGAATGAGATTCATATGAAACCATGCTTCTTAGAAGTAAATGGCACTTCTGTAAAAAATGAGGAATAATTAAAAGGATAGGACTAAGAATCATGTAAGGATAATGCAACTTGACATTTCATGTATCTTTAAGATCTTGTACATGTAATCCAGTATTTACAGTGTCATTAGTTTTTTTTAATTTAATAGTAAGTTTGTGTTTTTTGACTTTGTAATTTTACTTGATTACTTTTAAAAATGTGTATTGGGATTCAGTCCTTTCCTGTGTTACTAAATTATGTTTAATAATTGGTTTAGTGTTAGTGTTCTTATTATTCATTATAGAACTTTTTAGTATTTTCTTTTAAAAACTATCTAATTTTAAAATATGCCTTAATTTACCTATGTAAGGCAATATTTACTTAAATATTCTGGAGCTTATGAGCCTAAACTTATGATGATTTCCTTCACTCTTAGAACAGATATTTTATTGAGTGCTTGTTGTATGTCTGCTCAAATCCCAGAAGGAGAGGGAGGATTTTTCTTTACTCTTTCCCCATTCTTTCTTTTGCTTTATTATTTTTACATTTAGTTACATGTGTATACATTGGGCCACCTCTTTTCCCTCCCCCCTTTTCAGGCAGAACCCATTCCACCTCCTTCTTACCTGATTTCATTGAAGAGAAAACATAGGAGGTAACAGGAAAGACACAGTGTTTTTACTAGTTTGAGATAAAGATAGCTATACAGAGAGATTCCTATCGTTGCTTCCATGCACTTGTGTATTGCAACCCACATTGGTTCATCTCTGTCAGACCTCTTCACTACTTCCTGGTCCTGTTCCCATAGTGGCCTCTGCCAGTTT